CAAGGTTTAGGGTTCCTTTGGTACAGGGGCTTATGCAGGAAGTAGATGCGTCCTCTTTTACAAGTCGGCCCGATTGTGTTGAGAAACCGACACATCGGAGCCACTGGTCCTGCCGTCCTGTCAGCCACAGCCTCAGGCATCGGCACAGGAGACCTGAAACGTGACCAGGTAACGCCGGCGCCATCCCACCACTTCCAGTAGATCCTCTTGCGTGCCCCAGTGCCAACGGCACTGAGCCACACACCACGAGGCAAGTGGCTTGGCCTTGCCAGCACAGGTGGAGGTGGTGTGGTCGGTACCACCCAGCGCTCCAGATTCTGGAGGAAGATGGCCTCCTTCTTGGCGGCCTCATCCATTTCCTCCTCATCGGAAATGGTTTGCACCACTGTGGATTTTAAGTAGGGTAATAGGCCTCGTTAGGAGTAGTACCTATGCTCCATGAACCTCCAAATACTGCTTGAGCTTGAACATGTCAAGGTGCTACTTGGATGGCCGCGTGACCTCAACTACCCGAAAAGACCGTGGAAAATGAAAAGGGCCCCCTGCAGATAAATGGTAATAGCGGGTAGTAAGGAGTAAGGGAATTTCATCCTTACATAGCCCCTACTTCCTTCCCTTGTTCCCTACTAACCTCGAGTGACTAATGTGCTTCGAAAAGGAATGTGACATTTTGGGGTAGGGCTAGTACAGACTTATTTTATTGTCCCCTGTGACTCCTTCCCTGTTTTTCTCATCTCCTTGCAACACCATGGGCATCCAAGCATGCTTGGCTCAGGGTATAGTGGTTTAGGGTTTAGGGTATAGCATGTTAGGGTTCAGAATTTGTGAAATCTTTGCGGCCCGCTTCAGGCGCAGCCATGTGAATCTTATACCATCGAAGACAATAAGATATGAATCGCGCACCCTTGGAACCCAGAATTATGTCAAAGGTACAAAGGTTGGTGACGGTGGGAGTTGAGGGTGGTGTCACCCAACACCTAAAGAGTGAAACTCAAACCAGGGGCTTGCACTAGGGTTCAGGGTTTAGGGTCCTAAACCATAATCCAACCCTAAACCCTAAACCCTAAACCCCAAAATGCTTGGGCAGCCTAATACCGAACCCTACAACCCTACGCTCTTCAAAGTGCTGAGCCATTTTTTGGTGCATGTCATGCTAAAGGCATATGAACTGAATTCTAAATTCCTTAAGGGGGGGTTATATAGGGGATTCTATATAGGGGATTATATAGGGTTTTAGGGTTTAGGGTTTAGGGTTTAAAACTCCTTAAAGGGGGGTTATATAGGGGATAATATAGGGGAGTATTATAGGTCTTATTAAGGGGGATACTAGGAGTTTAGACTATAGTTCATATGAGGGTTATAAGCGTATGATATTCGCAGTTAATCGCTCCATGCAAATATTCAACAACCCCCCCTGCCCTGAAGAATGGAAGCATTGTTGGCGGAGGACAAAACCGTAAACCCAAATTTGCAAACCGTTAACCTATGAAACGTAATCCCTAAACAGTAAACTGCAAATCCTAAAGCTAATTACGCTTTCAGCTTTCAACAACGTATCAGGAAGATTGACCGCTAAACGTCTATTGCAGGGTTTTTCAGTTTGGGGCAGTCTCAATGCGATTTAGGGTTTAGGCTTTGGAGAAAGGTTTTGGGGGAGTGCGTGGGGTTGTTCTTTTGGGAAGGTTTAGGGTGTGGGGCGGACGTAGCGTTTTGGTACGATGGATGTAGGGTTCATGAAAACAAGCGCAGAATGCAAATCAGACGCAGGAGTGATTACCCATACCTCACAAGGTTTCCTTTTCTTTTGCTTTCCTTCATTTTGGGAAATCCCCTAAACCCTAAACCGTACTTACAGCGAGGACTCTTCTGGGAAACCTAACTGGTAGTTTCCATAGGTAGGGAGACCCCAATAGGGATTTAGAGGTTTTGGACCCCAGGTCATTCCCCACTACAGTAGCAGCTGCCACACTGGGTAATAGGAATTTTTCATGCCTGAATAAGACCACTGGGGTTTTGGGTTTAGGGTTTAGGACCATTTTAAGGGCGGGTGGGTTACTGTGGGGGTACGCGGGAATGACCCAATAGGGACCGATGTTGAAAAAAGGAGCTGCAATTATTGTGCCTTAGACCAATCCCCATAGAGGGCCAAAACACTATAATCCCCAGTATGGGAGCCCCCAAGAGGAGATGGAACCCTAAGCCCTAAACCCTAAACCCTAAACCCCGAGACCGCGAAACCCCTAAACCCTAAACCCCAAACCCAATTTTGCCCAACCCAATTCTTGCTTTAGGCAAGACTATTTACGGTCAGAGAGGCCAGCAGACGGGGCTGAACCTTAAATTCAAAAAAGCCCTGACCCAAGGATGTCTAGGGTGTAGGGTTTAGGATTTGAGGGTTCAGGGTTTAGCATGTAAGGTGTAGGGTTCAGGGCTTGGCATCCTACACCCTAAACCCTAAATCTTAAACCCAAAATCCTAAACCTTAAATCCTAAACCCTAAATCCTAAACCCTAAACCCTGGGTTGAGAGGAGCCTGGCCTCCTTGCATGCGCCATGGTAGTGAAAAGGTGTAATGCCACACGCAGTGCATGCCTTGCGAAAAAGTGTTTAGGGTTTAGGGTACATGATGTGGGAGGTTTTCACAAAAGGGGGTCCTTCTGGGGATTCTAGAGGGAATGATGTGGCAATGCCCATGTGGGATATTTTCAAAAAAGGTTGCCCTTAGGCTTTTAAGGCTACTACCTGGGGATTATGTGGGTCCTGTTGCGGATTTAAGAAGGACAGTCTACGAGGACTAGTTTACAGGAAAGCATGAACTTGGTGTTTACGTAGGCACGAGGAGCCTGGAGATGTAACGGACCCTAAACCCTAAACCCTAAACCCCTAAGCCCTAGCCTAATCCTCTAAACCCTAAACCCTGAGCCCTACAGTTGGCCCTATAGGCTATACTTCAAGTTTTCAGGCTTGTAGCCCTAGGATTGTACCCCGCTTGGATTTGGGATCCTTTCAAGGGTGCCTAGGGAACTACATTGGCTCCTACAAGGGCTAAGTTAGGGCTAGATTGGGGAATCCTTTTAGGGGTATGACCTCCGGGGTACAACCCGAAAACCACCTGATATACAGGGTCCCTATGAAGGAGCCCATGACGGCAGTTTTCCAAGACGAACATGCGCTTACCCTAAACCTCAAGTCCTAAACCCTAAGGCTTCCCATCACCTAAAGCGCCTACTTGGGTTCATGGGACTTAATAACTATTTATAACTGGGGTTATAACCCTACTTATTACTGGGGTAAGCCCTATAAAGCCATTTAGGGGGAGTTATAAGTAGGGTTACAAGCCCAGTTATAAGTAGATACTAAATCCCATGAACCTCCAAGTAGAACTCGGGATTTCTCAAACTCGGCTCCGGGCCGCGTACTCGCGGAGTACAACAAGTGACGCCCTATTGTAGGATTAAGGTGTTAGTGTGCTCCCTATTCTAAGGACCGCTTGAAAGAAACTGCGGTCTTCAAAAGAAGACTGCGGTCAAAAGAAGACGCCGGACACGCTGGCAACCACTACGTCAGAATAGATTTCAAACTCTCTTGCCTCCAGCTAGTGGTCTCACTGTGAAGGTTAGGTTTAGGCTTAACCAGTCTTGCTCCGAGAAAAGGTGTTGCAACACACATTGCTTTGAACAAGAGACATGATGATGAGCCTTCGGCGGAGACTAGAGCTGCATGAGCTTCTGACACTAAACTCCCACCATTTGAACTTCTGACTGTTTAGTACATTTGGGTTACGCAGGGTCACTTTGGTAGCGCAGCTGCCTTCGCTTTGCAAAATAATGCGCACGTTTTGTTACAGATCGGCGACATAATGCTGATTCTGCAAGCCCGTACATACCTAGACAGCGCAGGAATTGATCCCCATTGTCTCCAAGCAATCTCCTACACAAGCCCCTGCAATCCATTTGAGCTACAGTCAACATTTCCTGAATAATTTAATATACATGCATTCCTCCGGCGGGACTGTAATAGAATCAGGACCTCATATCCACTGTCAAGGGCTCCCTAAAAAGCCTGATACTGACAGTAGCTCCTCTAAACCCCAAACCCTCAAGGGTCCCTTAATAAGGCTAATGTTGACAGTAGCTCATTTGGGGTTTAGGGTTTGGGGTTGCCTCTTCGGCACCTGCTCATAATTACCAGCGACTAAGCTTGAAACCTTGAACCTGCACCATAACAAACTTTAACAATAGGGTTTAGGGTTCAAGGGTCGAGGGTTTAGGATTGAAGGGTTTAGGGCTTAGCGCCTAGGGTTTAGGGGTTTAAGGGTTTAGGGCTTTAAGGGCTTAATGGTTTCATCTCGCTAGTTGAAAGCCTGCATAGTGACTCCCCTAAGCACGTGACTTAGACCTATATAAATGACCTTACTTGGTTTAGGGCGAACCTTATGATTTCTAATTACACCCTAAACCCTAAACCCTTGGGCCTACATTAGTAGCTCCTTCTCATCAAGGAGCGCCGACAGGCCCAATAACAACGGTGCTAAGCAGTGCCACTAGACATCTGCAACCCTGGTAGGGTTTAGATTGGGTACTGCCCCCACTCAGTAGCGGTTGGATAATAGTTATAATATGGTT